ATATATATATATATATTTGCATTTCGATATCACGTGATGTATATTATTTGATCTATTTGTTCGCGATACAATTCGCTATGTATATCCTAAACTAATTTTTAGGTAAGAATGGTGCCCAAGAGCAAACAGTGTTTGTTTCGTTTGAGATCTCGTAATAATTCTGGTAATAATTCAAGAGATATATCAGGCCATCTGACCCTGACGAGCGATATTACGCAAAACTCAATGAGATATGACCATTGAACAATTTTGGACATACCACATCGTATTCGACGTATGAAGGTCATGCAAGTCAGTTCCTGAGAACCGAAAGCAAGACACCTACGCATATGATTTGATTATAGTGGTGAAGGCTTTGTGCAGAACCAATTACACTTTTTGAAGAAGCGAATACAGAAACCTGTTGCCCCACGTGCCGCATGGTCCCCAAACGACTAGACCAGTTTCCATCCAAGGCTACGGAACACAGTCTGTCCTATTATTTACCCATAGCAGAAGAGAGAAGGGGAGGATTCATAACTTTTCCAAGGATATTAGCTCGTAAGTGTATGAAATGGATTCAACTGAAATTCGAACTCTCCGATTCCTCATCCGAGCCACTATCCATAAATAAATATATATATATATATATATATATATATATATATATATATATATATATATATATATATAAGAAAAAAATATAAGGAAAAAAAAAACAAACAAAATCCTTATATACAATTATGCTGTTTTAATGTTAATATGTCAACGTCGGACGTTTCGGTCTAATAAACCATCTTCAGGACATATTCATAAAATATAATTAACATTATCAATTCAACATGACAAAGACGATGTACATAAGAACAATTATTTATTAGACCGAAACGTTGCATATAAGGATTTTTGTTTGTTTTTTCCGTATATATTTTTCTTCATAATGTCGGATCTATATCCATATATTTGCTAACATATATATATATATATATATATATATATATATATTTATTAACAATTTGTGACTGGTAGGGATAATTCCAAGAAGGATATTAATCCAGGGAGAGTTCAATATAAACTAGAAAGCATTATAATAATAATGAAGAAAAACTTACAGATTCATTTCGGTTACAATTTATTTCGTAAATATCTATATATTCATATATATCGAAATGAATCTTTACGTTTTTCTTCTTGATTATATCTATCTATCTATCTATCTATCTATCTATCTATCTATATATATATATCTATATATATATATATATATATATATATATATATAATGTTATCCACAAACAGACGGAGAATTTAGACGTATTTATTTTTAGATAACGCCAGTGACTGGAGAATTCGATTCGTTTTAACAAAGATTATATATAGATATATATAAAAAGAGGCAAAACTGGTTCATTAGATGCCTTTACATTTATATTCTACCTACCTACCTACCTACCTACCTACCTACCTACCCAGCTTTCTATCTATAGAGGATATGATATGCTAATCTATATGTCAAAGCAATTGTGGCTAACTAAATGAAAGAATTAAAAAAATACCAAGTAACGAGTTTCGTCCCTAGAAGAGACTTCATCAGCCTAATTAAGATTTTATCTGTGCAGTCACTGATATATATATATATATATATATATATATATATATATATATATATATATATATATATATAGTGAGAAAAATGCCCAGCTTTAATGTTTACAATGTACATTTTTAATCGACTTTTGTTCTATTTCTCTCTATTTTTCCCCTACCCTATGACACAGACTCGATAAAAACAATGTTATTATGAATAAGTTCATTCCGTCTATGAAAGACATTTCTTAATAGTTTATTTTTCCATGTTGTCATTGAACTACCTGTATGTCTTTCCATCTATTATTTTCTTTCTCTCTCTCTTTCTCTGCACACACACACACACACACACACACAGAGAGACAAATACACACACACACACACACATATATATATATATATATATATATATATATATTTATATTTATAGGGTGTGTAAAAAATATTTTTACCAATTTTTAAAAAGATTTTGGGGCCGGTTTTTTTTTTTACTTTTACAAATTTTGGGGGCCGGTTCCTCACACCACAACAAGTACATACAAACATGACGTATTCTGATAACTAGATCAACTCCAACAGCCTGTAGAATATGTTCTTCATGATCGTGCGTACAAGCTGTTCACGGTCTTCCTCGATTTATAGTTTGTGCTGCCACAGATCCTGTCTTAGCAACGCGACGATAAACACTGGCAAAGGTTTGGTGACTCGGCTGCCTTCGGTTTGGAAACGCAATCTGATACAGCCGTGCAGCCTCGCGTCCATTACCACTCGTGCGGTTGCATGTAAAAACCATATCTACTCGCTCATGAAATGAATATCCTACCAATGTTAGACGGAACACTTCACAGTTAACTCACTACTACACACGTTAAACGTTGAAGACCGGCTATCCACAAATGTACACGAATGACAAATGTAACCTAGTCTATATCAT